TAGTTTTATAAGAACAGTGGAGCCAAACACCATATCCGATGTTCTACCATTCAGGCTTCCTACTATCAAAATCGATTCTATTATTCGAACATTGTGTATGCAACTTTGCTGCGTCTTCTATTACAATATCAAAACAAATAATTGACAACATAATGCATCCTTTGTGTACTATATTATATCTTCCTTATTAATCCAATATGAATTTGATTTCGAATAACGTGTAGTATTAATAATAAGTATTGAAAATATAAGTATAAATACGTAGGTTTGAAACTTAAATAATGGCAACTATTTATTCACAACCGATACAAAAGAGTTACATGTTTGCACCTGTTACTGTCCTTCAAAGTAGTCACCAGCGTTGTGTAGAACCCGTCAGCAGATCCTGTTCTGTTGATGGTGCGAATGGAGCGATCTACTGCCATGTCTTAGGGACCCTATAGGAGGGACGCGTCATGTACATTGCTGGGGGACAGGAACTTGTGTAGTCACGTGATTGCGCGCGAATGATTCAACTAACCACAGCCGTTAATACATACTAAAGATAAACATTGCTGCGCGATGCAACGGAAGCTGTCCCTCCACATTTTCAGTCTAGCAATGTACATGGCGCGTCCCTCCTATAGGGTCCCTACCATGTCTCATTCAGTGTTACGATACGGCGTAAAAAAGCCTCTCATTCGCGCTCATAGCGCTCCAAGTGCGTCTGAGCAGCTTCGTAACGCATCCATTTCTGCATTTCCGTCAATTCATGTGGAACCCATCGTGGCATTCGCTTCAGAACTGTTCCAGAAATTCGACAGGCAGTAGACCGCTCCATTCGCACCATCAACAGAGCAGGCTCTGCTAACAGTATACGAAGCCTTCCAAATCGCTGGCAACGGGTTCTACACAACGCTGGTGACTACTTTAACACGTTCACGCCGACGTGTACCACCGGTGGCCCGCGCTTGACTGTCCCATCGGGCGGCGCGTACCACCGGTGCTCCACCTTGGTCCAGGTTTGAACAAGCAAAAATCACGCGCCGCCAGATGAAGCGCATCTGAGATTCGAGTGCCGCCCTACAGCGTAGACACTGAAGTAACAGGTGCAAACATGTAACTCTTTTGTATCGGTTGTGAATAAATAATTGCCACTACTTAAGTTCCAACCTACGTACTTACACTATAAATATTATAAAAATGTTGAAAGTGGAACACATAATTACTAGTATTCTACTTATACGAAAATTCTTTTAAGCCCCGAATAATTTTATATTTCCCAATTGATTTGAATACTAATAGTTTTATAGTAATTCTATTTTAAATAATTTACGACAAGTTGATACGTTTTTTTTTTATTTGTTAATTTTTAATTACTTGTTCAAATAGCTAAAATATATTTCAGCAGATGTATCAGTAATATGTCATATTAAATAGATAAACAATTAATTAAAAACATTTGACATGTATGAGCTATTTATAAGTGGTAATTGATCGATTTATAATTATTTTGAAATATAGAAATGTTTGGATAATTTTAAAAATATTGCTAATTATTAATGAACTATTAAAGAAAAATGATTTTAATAAAACGATTTTCTTAACCATTTGACTGCGGCGGGCTCTCGAATCAATCCATTAATATGAACAGCGCGATTTTCGCATGTCAGTCACTGCTGTGACTGTTTTTCCATTGGTTACTGACCAAAACAGATAATAATGGAAAATAAAATAAAAATATGAATTTAAAAAAATTTTTTTTTAAAGTAATTTTTTAACCAATTTTAATTTACTTTATTTATTTTGTTGCATTCCTTCAATAATAATCGGTGATTTAAATATAAAAGAAAAAAAATACAAAATTTATAATGTAACACTGTATTTATAATAACTTTAACAGAATATTTGAATAATTTTAACCTAATTATAAAAATAATAAAATTGAAATAGGCGAATTTCAAATATAAAAGCAATTAACTAAACGACATTGAAATAATTGCCAATATTTAGTTGCTATGTTACATATCACAATAAATTCCATGTTAAATTAATTGGTAAAACAGCAATAAAGGTATTATAGTAAAAAAATACAGAAGGCGTATATTTACGCCTTTCGTGTACATTGATGGATTTGTGAGAGCGTATATATACGTCTTTAGAAGTCAAAGGGTTAATCTCCTAATGGATTTATACCCACTTTAAAAAGGATACATTTTTCATATAAACAATGAGTAAATAATTAAAACTGTATCAACTGTATCTTCCTTTAGATGTAAAAAAAAAACAACAAGCAAGTATTTAAATACTTGCTTTTAATCGCAACGAAAATAAAAAATCGATATAAATAAAAATGCTTTTAACAAATAGAAATTCCTTCTTCTCATTTTATTGCAATTTCTTCTACCTACCTCATTCTCTTATTTTCTACTTCGAATCCATCATGCGAGAATTTGTAGTGTCATAACTGTTAATACTCACCGCTAAAAGCATACCGAGTCGACATTAAAACGAGAAAGAACATCTTTCTCTTTCTATCTCACATTATTTTTCTCTCTTTTTCTTTTTCTATATATCCACGAACGAGTTCAAATTTGTTGACGTGAAAAACACACGTGTGTACTTGCGCTTAATTTAAGCGATTACCGTGCACCTGCGTTAGACTTATTTCTTTCTTTCTTTCTTTCTTTATACGTTAATTCCTTCTTTCCTTTCTTTCTTTTCGTTCCGACACGAAAGCAGCGCTTTTGTACAATACTAAGCGGTGGGGAGGAAAAAGGCCCTATATATGTATGGTGTGTATGGGAAAACAAATGGTGAAATTAATGTGACTACGCACTATGGGATTTCGATCAATTTCCAGGTTCTACTAATACTCGAAATTCGAATCGAAATTAACACGTTCGTCGCCATGTCACCGTATAGAGGAGACGGGCATGCTTCCCCGTGGGCCCCGTCACCGTATAGAGGAGGCGGGCATGCTTCCCCGTGGGCCCCGTCACTGGATACGGTGACGCTCTTCTTGTCGAAGTAATAGGATTTTTAACACGTTCGTCGCCATGTCACCGTATAGAGGAGACGGGCATACTTCCCTATGGGCCCCGTCACGGTATACGGTGACGCTCTTCTTGTCAAAGTTTTAGGATTTAAAATTGGATTTTTAACACGTTCATCACCATGTTACCGTATAGAGGAGACGAGCATACTTCCCTATGGGCCCCGTCACGGTATACGGTGACACTCTTCTTGTCAAAGTTTTAGGATTTTTAACGCGTTCGTCGCCATGTCACCGTATAGAGGAGACGGGCAAGCTTCCCCGTGGGCCCCGTCACGGTATACGGTGACACTCTTCTTGTCAAAGTTTTAGGATTTTTAACACGTTCGTCGCCATGTCACCGTATAGAGGAGACGGGCATACTTCCACGTGGGCCCCGTCACCGAATACGGTGACGCTCTTCTTGTCGAAATTATAGGACTTTTAACACGTTCGTCGCCATGTCACTGTATAGAGGAGACGGGCATACTTCCACGTGGGCTCCGTCACCGAATACGGTTACGCTTTTTTTGTCGAAGTTATAGGATTTTTAACACGTTCGTCGCCATGTCACCGTATAGAGGAGACAGCCATGCTTCCACGTGGGCCCCGTCACTGGATACGGTGACGCTCTTCTTGTCGAAGTTATAGGATTTATAATTGGATTTTTAACACGTTAGTCGCCATGTCACTGTATAGAAGAGACGGGCATGCTTCCACATGGGCCCCGTTACCGGATACGGTGACGCTCTTCTTATCAAAGTTGTAAGATTCTTAGTTGGTTTTTAAAAATATTTGATTATTTTCGGTAAATAAAATATAATAATATAATATAACAATAATATTCGGGTCGCAATGTTGATATTTCTACTTATCGCTTCTTTACGTTACGACGCGCCGGCAGTCAAATTTTGGGCCTGGCGAGAAACTCAACCGAAACGGGCTGGGCGACGAACATGTTAAAGGATAAAAAGGAAAAACAATGAATCAGATTACGATGTGTGTATATGTGCAAAGTATCAAAGTAGAATTAAACAGCACGAAGAACACGTACTGTTCGATATAAACCTTCGGCAAAATTTTCTTCTATCAAATTTGGTATAATTAATCGATAATTCCTCGATAATTTGTCGATAATTCGAAATTATTTGGGATGCGCGAAAGTGCAGAACTCGTTCCAGTGAATCCATCCAATAGAAAGGAATCGTTTCCAGGTCGTAGCGCACGTATTCGTCGACATTTTGCCGTGATAATCAAGCCAGACAGAATTCATCCGATGGATCGGATCGCGTATCCGCGACAAACCGCGCGCGCATTTTCATCCGTCTGTCTCACCTGTTCAGAGAGAGACAGACAGAGAGAGAGAGAGAGAGAGAGAGAGAGAGAGAGTGAGTGAATTTCATCCTTTCTTTCGTCTTCTATTTACGCTCTATTTTCATGAAATAATAATGTTTTACGATGTAACTGTCAGAGAGTTACGTGTTACGAGTGATAAATAAACAAGATGAAGCTACATTCTCACATTTATTATTACTATTGTTATTATAATAATAATAATAATTATTATTATTATTATTATCTTTCTCAAGGATTCTTCCATCCATCATTTCTCGTCATCCTCTTCTCCTCCTCATATATTCGTCCGAGAACAAATTTGTTTTATAATCGGTTGGACGATTAACCAAGAACGTAACGATGAACGTCCGTGCAGTGTACTATCTGTATTCTGGGGCATTGTTAAAAAAAAAAAAAAAAAAAGAACGGACGGTACTTCCGTTTAACTAACGTAAACTAATTTTCACGTACTATTATAATATGGTGACCTATATATTTTGTTTTTAATATTATTATGCTAGAACAAACGGTTTTATATACAATATAAGTATAAATAGAAAAATCTCTACGATTCGGTTCGATGCCGTTCGGACGTGATTCGTATCTCGGTATAAAAGGAAACCTAAGCAGGGATATTTCCGCAAAACGCGAGTTAATGTCACGATGGCCAGGTATCCAGTAATATTACTTTTGTTCATATCTTCAATTTTGCTTAACAACGTGAACACACTTATACCAGACGGTTTATCCAAATTATTCGGTAACCTGGCTACGATCAAAAAGTAGGTTCAATTTTGAGATATCTTTGAACTTTTCGTTAAAACAACCAATTTTTTGTTCTATTCATTACAGTGTAAGGATTCCCGAGTTATTAAATCAATTGTGCAACGAATCGCAAGGTACCAACGTTACGCGACGCGATGCCTGTTACGGTTGCTTTTATCGTGCTAGTAGCCAATCCACAGGATATCCTTTGATATTGGCAATGGCTAACTGTGCGGATATGTATCTGAATAATACAGATTATGGTCATTGCCAAGTATATTTGAGAGTAAGCTAATTAGATAACAAAACGTTGAAATCATTTTCTGTCACAGGTGTATACGTGCGTATTAAATGAATAATCTCATTTTCATTTTGAAATCGTCATTATTATTTACAGAATGCTACGAATAACATTAGTAACAGAGTCAGTCCTGTTACGATTTATTGTACTTTCCTCCAATGTATTCGACAAGTTAACAAGGACACCCTGGTAACGTATCAAATCATATTTTTTTTTTTTTGCTTATTTTATGCTTCGACATTTTAATTATTTCTTTTTTTAGTTTACTTTTTTCATTCTCAATTTAGAAGGTGTAAATACTTATATAAATATGTAAATACATACGTAGATTTTTTGCAAGCTAAAAATAAACATGTAAATAAGAGAATAGAAGGTCAGATGTCTACTCGTAATGTAAAATATTATATTAATCCAATTGAAATAATCACCATCACTCATTTTTTTCTTCTTCTTCTTCTTCTTCGAGTAGTATAAAAATTTGAAGACAATAAAACTATTAAAAAAGACGTACATTGTAAATATTGTATAGGACGCTTTTCAGCGTGCTGCCATAAGAGAAGAAGGAGTTGCGATAAACTTGGAAACACGAAGGATGAATTCCGGCTTTATATTAAAAGTATATCCTCGCATTTTGAGAGCTGTTTGCGTATTCAGAGAGCAAAATGCCGATTCCATTACCGTACGACCCGGAGCAGAGCCCATCAATCCAAGGTCCTTATAGTCCTTGAAAATCCTAACTAGAAACTTGGCCCAAATCACATCTTCGCCGCTTTAATTACATGCACCAAGAGTCCACATACAAGTCAATGAACGTGCCTTGTACATATATACATATGTATTTGTATGTACCTACCTGTATAACGTGTACATATATATAAAATCCTTTTCTATGCAATTAGCATGTATTATAAAACTACAATCTATGGTGTATCATAAAAATTCTTTGCATCGACGAACAACACACATTGTTCGTTTTGTTTTTTATCTTGTATATATATATATATGTGGGACAAGCGCCTCCATACCAAACTTATGGGGCGTTCGTGAAAAGGATTGGTCGGTGGGCCCTGGATAGCTCAATTGGTTAAAGAGCAGTCGCCCGGAAAGCAAAAAATCCATGGTTCGAGTCCCGGTCCAGTTAGTTCAGCTGTCCAATTTTTTTCACGAATCCCACACATGGGGGCTTAGCCGGGATGGAGGTCTGTTTCGTAGCATGTTCCACAGTCTTACAACGCCACAAAAAGAGGAGATGATGTTGGGTGGCATATAACATTCGGGGTCGAATGTTGTTAAAGGGGGGGTGGAATGTGGAACGAGCGCCTCCATACCAAACTTATCGGGCGTTCGTGAAAAGGATTGGTCGGTGGGCCCTAGATAGCTCAATTGGTTAAAGAGCAGTCGCCCAGAAAGCGAAAGATTCATGGTTCGAGTCCCGGTCCAGTTAGTCCAGCTGTCCAATTTTTTTCACGAATCTCACACATGGAGGCTCAGCCGGGATGGAGGTCTGTTTCGTAGCATGTTCCACAGTCTTACAACGCCACAAAAAGAGGAAATGATGTTGGGTGGCATAACATTTGGGGTCGAATGTTGTTAAAGGGGGGGTGGAATGTGGGACGAGCGCCTCTATGCCAAACTTATTGGGCGTTCGTGAAAAGGATTGGTCGGTGGGCCCTAGATAGCTCAATTGGTTAAAGAGCAGTCGCCCGGAAAGTGAAAGATCCGTGGTACGAGTCCAGGTCCAGTCGGTCCAGCGGTCCAATTTTTTTCACGAATCCCACATATATATATATTTGAAAGTAAGTTATTTGATTATATCCAAGGTTGCGTTTAAAAACCATTTGCATCCGTAAGCGTAATAATCCCAAGCGTGTCTAAAAAAAAAAAAATTCGAAATTGTTAATTAATTACAACCAAATTTGATCTCTTTTATTGCCATTGATAGTAATCAATTAATACTCCTAATTAAAATTAAAATTTGAAAAGTAATTTAATTGTATATTAATTTGAAATAAAATGAGCATATACGAGTCCAATGATCGGTTGAGTGTCTCGAATTGATAAAATTAGAATATTTAAAACATGAATGCAAATGGATTTAAATAACCTTTACCTTAAAACACACCCTATAATATAATGATCCGTTGTAAATATTTATTGTAGAGTAAAAGAAGAAAAAAAATATATATATAAACAAGATGCTGTAATACTTTTGTTTTTATTCTATATACAAGATTATCCAATAGGTTTCTTCTCCTATGAATTATTTCCACAGTTACGAGAATGCGTAGGCGAGGCCTTTCGAATGTTTCCAAACTTCAATTTAACGGACGTCAATCTAAGCCAACTTTTCGTCAACACAACTGCCTGCGTTTTGGCAAAAACTCGTTGCGCTTATATGAATCCGATAACTGGTGAAATTCAAGAGGACGATTTGACCAATAAATTTCATCTACCATCGGTCAACGCAATTTTTGTCAATGACGATTATGACTTCAACATTGTACAGTTTCCTTATCGTTACGGTATCGCGGACATATGTGCTAAATTCAGAAACATTAAACTTGCCACGTGGCCTTCCGTTTCTTGTTGACTTCTTCAAGAACCTTTTTACAATAACACAGTTATTTTATACGATATTTTTCTTATTCTACCTTTTATATTCTATTGTATATGTATGTGGACATTATAAACGTATTATATTGGATATTCATTATTATTTTTTATTATTTTACGAATCATTAACTCTTTCCACTCGAGTACCGACCAGTATGTTCCAGGATGTTCTCGTTATATATCTATTATTCGATGGCTAATGTTATGTCTTTACGATCTACAACGTAAACCTGCTTGCTTATGGAAAAAAATATGCTGTTTTTATTTTCTCTTTAATTTCTCTTTACAATTAGTGTATCGCCAAGACCTGTTATACTTAAAAAGGAATAATCCTATTTACCAAAGTTCCTTTAAAACGGGGTCGTTGTTCTTTTCAATCTTTTTCAAATTCATTTCATCAAAACTAAACCTTCACGAACTACCTTTATAAAAACTTTGAATCATATTTGCTGGAGAGCATCAGCTCGTGTCTCGTCTTCCTTTACATATTTTAAACACGCCAAGTGTTAAAGTTACAACCATTATTGCTAAAATCTGAAAATAAATCATTTTTAAGACATTCCTTGACTGACATTCATCAATTGCTTATCTAAAAATAAAATAATATTAACCCCTTAAAGTGCACACTTGGTAAAAGTTAGTTAAAGTGCACTGTGGGTGTTTGACACCCCAACGTCTCCTGAAGCTGCTATTTAATATTTAAACCTCGCAATTTTTTACCCATCTTAATGAACACTAGATGGCACTGGACAAATAACCCATTTTTGTCCAATTCAGTACCGTTTTCGAGAGATCAAAAATTTGTTGGGGTGTCAAACACCCCATGTGCACTTTAAGGGTTAAGTCACGTTAGCCGAGTAAAGGTGATTAGAAACGTGACGACCATCAATCGTCATTTGATCCTTTGAAAAGGATCAACCCACGGAAACGTATAATGGGAAAAAAGAATAATCAGGAAATAAATAAATGAAAGCTAAAATCTTCTTACGTGTATCGCAAAATCATTTGCTAATTAAATATTTACACAGAGTATTTAAGAAATGTCTTGAGATTTAGGATAGTAGTTGGCAAAAGCGAACAAAGACTCCTTTTTGGTAATATATGTATTACGTATACACACAGCACGTCGTTCCATTTAGCGAAAAGGCGATTATTTCTATCCATTAACTCGGCTAATCGGATCAGGAGCGACGGAACTGGCAAAGTCGGCACCGGTGCTTGGACTCGAAATGTTCGCTTAACGAAGTCTCTAAGTGTTTCTTTAAGTATTTACCAGTTAATTATCCTTAATCCTATCTCGAAAGAGTGCATCAGGATACGCTCGCATGATTATCATATTCTACGAATTTGAATTCTGTATTACCTAAACATAGGAAGGAAATTTCTAAAGAGACACCGATGCGAACAGGAACAAGAAAAAGAAGAGGAAGAAGAGGAAGAAGAAGAAGAAGAAGAAGAAGAAGGAAATAGGAAGCAAAAGCATTTGAAGACGATCGCAAGTGATCAAGACTCAAGACCAGTTAGGGTGCTAGGCATCTTCTTCGACAAAATTTGAAATATGCAAATGGACACGTCTAGTAGGCACTTCAAACACATCTACATATACAAACAGACGCACACATATAATATCCCTGTATAGCTATCTGTTCGTACATGAGCCATATAAGAAGGGACGGAGAGGGAGAGGGAGAGGGAGAGGGAGAGTATGTATGTATGTATGTATATTCCAGAGTAGAGAGAGAACGCACGGTTCGGTTCTCTCCAAGCCAATTTAACTTAACATGCAGATGCAGTACGTGGAATCGACATGAACGGAGTGTGGACATAAGTAAGAAAAGAAAGAGGGTTGAAGGGAAGAGAGGAAATTCTGAATCATTCGGTGTCATTTTCAGACGTTCCTTATAATTACACTTATACATAGGTTTCGCATTATTTAAGAAAGATCTCGTTCGTCCTTCCGAATACAAATATAAGAGGAAACGTTTATGTCCAGAATTACGTTCCCATCTCGTATTACGTTAGGTTTGCTAAAAGCATCCTGCGTCATCCGACGACGACGACAAGTCGACGACGGATGGAGAGAAAATATAAGGGTGAGGGGAATAGGGTGACAAAAAAAATACGATACGTCATCATCGTGCTACTGATCGTCGTTTTCTCTCCTGGCTTAGTCATCGACCGCATTCTTTCATATACGGAACACTCTGTAACAAATATAAGAGTATTCCGTCGAAATGATGTCAGCCTGGACTTGGATGGCTCGCGTCGATGCTATTCCGGACACGATGACACTTCATGAACACAGAATCCGCGCCTACGCTAAACGGATGACGCACTACCAACAACTATCCTTGTATTTAAATATGCCAAATATCTTTAATATCATATCATACTCAATTATATATATATATATATATATACTTACAAAAACAAAAGATAAATATATAAACAAATAGTTGCATCACGCTTAAGAAAATAGTTAAAATTTTGTTNTATATATATATATATATATATATATATATATATATATATATATATATATATATATATATATATATAATTATCGAATAATAATTCATAAACCGATACGCCCATTTAACGTTTAAACATATGTACTCGAGATAAAATTACGAAGTATTTTAACACTTAGCCGACCATTTTCATCTGAGGAGAATGCTTCTTTCTCTATACAGCTTCTTATTTATATAGGATATACGACGTATAATAAAATGCACCAATTTTTGAAATCTTTTATTGCTCATTATTACGGCTCTTTATTTTGGGGATATTCGATGGTGGCTTTGCCAGACATAAAATTATTTTCAACAATATTAACACTTTCACAAGCGCACGTTTGCCCAGTGAAACTTCGCCAATGGCCGGCAATATTATATTATTAATAATAACCAATGACACCACATGAGTGTCACCGGCGTACGACGACTGGCCTGCCTATGGCACCACATTCGTGTCAGCGGTTGTGAAAGTGTTCAAATATATTACTACCTTTTTGTTACGTTATTTATCCGTTATCTTTACTGTTCTTAATTTTCTGACTCTATTACTTATACTTTTTGAATATAACCATTAAGAAATAATTATTATAAACTTTTAATTTCGAATTTTGTATAAGCAATATGTGAAATCGTTGAACGAAAGATATAATTGATCACATTAAAAATTTTCGGACGTTTTTGATTTCAAATAGGGAATTTTAGTCCGTGCTATTTCAGAAAAAATGCGCGGTGGAGAGGGCAGTTTGACTTTCCCGAGCACGGTGGAAATTGTAGAGGTCTCTGTGGGGCGTTCGATTAGCTAAGTGTTAAAATAATTTCAAATGTATCGCGGTATATGTTTCGCGGTCTTTTGTACAATTGACTCTCGACGTGTATACGATTACGTGGCGCCATCTTTAACGAACACTTGGAACCACATTCTAACTCGTGATCCGATTTACTCGGCATACCAAAACCTAAATCTAATTTTCTCGATAATCTAAATTCAAGTAAAATAATATATCTTCGATGTTTGAATCATCCTTTGATATTACTTATCTTTCTAATTTAAAACATACGTGTGTATGTGTGTATATGTTGGTGTGTGTATGGGCCCACGCGCGAGCCCGCGTACATTTGAATTCAACATATTTAGATTAGATAGAGAATGTAATCGTTATCCATAGTGACGGATTCAAATTAAAAAAGAGAATACGATTTATAAGGTTATTCTGGTTCATAAGAAAGGTGGGCGCGATCGAGTTAAATAATCCTTGCTTACCTTGCGCTGCGCACACAACCAAAGAAATAACGCTTGATTGCATCACAGAGCGCGGTGACGTCATTACCCGAACGCAGCGCAACGGTCCGAACAGGTGACAGTCGCTGTCAAGCCGTGACGTCAATCGGCTAACGGCCAATGAACCTGCAGCTCGCGTTTGCGCTTTAAATCTTTCATTTCTCGTATCATCGTATCATATTGTAATCTATCCTATCATATGTATCGTGTGTCTCACTTTCTCTCTCTCTCTCTCTCTCTCTCTCTCTTTCTTGCTATTGGCGAAGGACGACATCGAGGACAGTCATATTTAATCAATTTTTCAATTTGTCTATCACCACAGGTCAACCAAATTCTTAGACCTTCTTCGTTTCGTTCAATTTACTTTTAATACAATTTAGTAACATACAAAGCTAATGATTCCTAATTCGGGAAGAAAATGAAAATGTAAGGTGTCTATAAAAACACTTGTCATCGTTGATCGTTTTAACGTAAGAATAAAAATGTCAAATAAGATTGGATATAACCTAACGAGAGTCGACACTTGAAAACAATGTCTTAGAAAAATCTTAAAAAAGATTGTCGTTACTCACAATTGGCGAAGAATCGTCGGTCATTCTTTAAAGGATGTTTTCGCCAAACCTGGGAGCTTCTACCTTGATTTAACACTCGATAAAGAGGACACACACTCGCGTTACCGTCCTCGAAATAGAAAACGCTGTCTCGGCCATCATGGTTTCATACGGCGACGTCGATCGCTCGAATTTTTCCCACCGCAGAGACTTCTGTCGCCATCTTGCGATAAATCTAATAACTAAATCAATTTTGCGGGATAATTTCAATAGAAAAGAAATCTGTACTTACGGTTTATTAACCGATCGATAGTAAGGAAGATCACATTTAACATTGGTAATTTTGTAATCTACTTTATCATTCGTCGATAAATTATGAAAACATTTGAATTGCCGATAAAATAGTCTTCGATTATATTTTGTAGAGATTATTGACATAATAAAGAAATATATCCGACTAGGGATGCCCCGCCACGCGTTGCTGTGGCTCACAATCCGCCATCTGTTAGAATCTTATCGAACTAACAGCGATAATCATGACTCTTTGTTAATAAACAAATAATATTGCGATTATAAATTGAGATGTAAATTATCCTATCTTTCAAGTTGGATGAAACTGCATACAGTGTGCAAAATTTGATTAAAATCAGTTCAGTTGTTTAGGAGTCCATTGCGGACAAACAACGTGACACGTAATTTATATATATTAAGATTATAAAAGCGTTAATAATATTATTTTTCGTTGCAGTGTTTTATTGTAAAATGCTCTCCTTAATCAAATAAATTTCAAGTTAATTTTTCCTATTATTATACTCTCAAGAAATATTGAAAATTTGATTTAATTTTCTCATCGTTAATCTCTCTCTCTCTCTCTCTCTCTCTCTAAAAATCTTACTAAACTAATTTTAAAAAATACTGCATTATTAAGTATTCATCTAAATATTAATAGAAATTAAGCTATTTGGATTTTGTCTGAAAAGTCATCTCTATTACACGCAAATATATATAACAGAAGAAAAATAAGATGTTATAGAGGAAATTCTAAATAAGCGTAAAATCTTTATAAAAGAGCAGATGTTTTTCTTTCCCCTTCTGCCCACCCAGTAAGCTAGATTTCTTAATCTACGAGTCAAGATTTCAAAAAAAGCCAAAGGTTCAATGCAATCTCACCACGACAAAAGCCAATATCCCCAACAAAACTTTTTGTTCAAATACAAAGACATCTTTATTCAATAGATGCAACCGTCGACCACGGTTTGATTAATATGTTCAATCAATGTTTTTGAAAAACAACATTATTGTTTACAATCGTGATCGATCCTTTAGATAAATATTTAAATATTTTTCTAATACTTAAAATAAATCAAACAATTTCGTACGACTATAAACTGCTTCTTTTTCCTAACCGCTGTCATTCTTATTTTATTCTAAGTCTTATCTACATATAGCCTATATTTTATAGACTATAATACTAAATAGATATCTTATCTTAATATATATAAATTACGTGTCACGTTGTTTGTCCGCAATGGACTCCTAAACTACTGAACCGATTTTAATCAAATTTTGCACACTGTATGCAGTTTCATCCAACTTGAAAGATAGGATAGTTTATATCTCAATTTATAATCGCAATTGACTTAAAGACGTGTGTATCGGACTGTGTGAGCCACAGCAACGCGTGACGGGGCACCCCAAGTTTTATTTTTTTATTTTTATATGTGAATATTAAAAAATTAGAGAAACAGTTGTCAAATAACATCTACGAGCATATATCTAAGAAATTGAATAATTTCACGTAGCAGGACTCGCGCTAAGAACGGGCTTTCAATCGAAAAGGAAATTTTTACTTATAGAAATCTTCCTTGGGCCCAGATCACCGCAGGATCACGAAGGGAAAGAGAAAGAAAGAATAAGAGAGTGGGGACGAGGCTATATAATCTTAGGGTAGGTCGTCCAGAGAGAGTAGTATTCTCTGAAAAGTTCGAATAGTGTAAGTTTCGCGGTTAATAAGTGAAAATCGTTTTCCAAGTTATTAAATATAATTCAATATTTTATTACAATAGTTATATTTTATAACGTTCTCTCTCTCTATATATATATATAGAAAAAATACACACATACATATTATACACTCATGCAAGGATGTCATGGATAATTAAGCTCCTTAATCTACTAGCAATCTTTGGTACGTACTGGTGTCTCTTTTTTTGTAACCCTCAATTAATCATTCATCTGTTGGGCCAATTAGTCACAATTATTTTTAGCTCATTTAACTTTTTCTGAGAAAAAAAAAAACATGATAAAAGTTCTTTGCTAATCGTTCTTATAATATCTCACGTCGAAAGATACGTAGTGAATTTTCTGGGAATAAAGTACATAAGTATTCGGTGAGATCTTGTAAAGCGTCTACGGTAAGAATAACAACATATACAAAAAGCTAAGACAACGCATAACTGCACGCATCGTATCCGCCGCGTCGACGTGATTATTGTCGAGTCAAGATTCGATTTGACTGGAATACCAATTGAAACGATAACAATGAAAAGGAATAGTCACTGAAGACAAATATCGAGGGAAAAAGCAAAAACCATCGAATGTTAAACACCTCACAAGACAACTTTTCTCATTAACTCGTTATTAATCCTTTACAATGCTATAAACTTGTAGGAAATATTGGTATTGGTTGTCATGTTGAGAAATGATAGCTCTTTTTCTTTTTTTTTCTTTCTTTCTCCCTCTCTCTCTCTTTCTTATATTATACGACACAATAGATCCGAACTATAGATCCAACCGTAGAGATGAAAAAAGAAATATTATTGAAAAGGAAATCTTTTCCAGCTGGCATAAAGATCTGACACTAGTTTCTCACCCATATATTTATGAAGGTTCACGTCTTAGTTACGTCTGAATTGTATCCAGGTAGATTTATGGGAATTTATTTTTCCACGTTATACACACTTTATTCCTGAGACATCCATTTATATAGACGCAGTTGATAATCGAACGCAACCTCACACCTGTCCCTATTATTAAAAGCGCATTTAATTATTTGACTATTTCGTTATATTATTTGTATTATTATTGATACTTTTATTTCAGGTATTTCTTGTGCGATTAATTGGAGATCGGAAAGCAATGAAGATCAATGTGAGACAGCAATCAGGGAAGTCATTAGAGATGATCGAGCTATTGTTGAAGATGATAGTCTAACTAGGCTGCATTACACGTGGTCATCTCAAGAGTGAGTTTAATTTTGTTTTTTTCTTTTTTTAATAAATAATTATGGAGGGTAGAGGTAAAGAGTGAAATCTCTTAAGGTGCGATTTCATGCTGACGCTTGACGCTAGCTTTGAGCGTCAAATTTGACCACTTAATATAATTTCGATCAAAGTGCCATCTAGATAAGAAGCAGCCTCAAATCTGCTGTATAGTATGAATGTAGCAATTGTGAACGAATTGAAGTATGCCGAGTATAACATAAGATTCTTTCTTCTTATTATAGAGGGTAGAGGTAAGGAGTAAAATCTCTTATGGGAGAAAATGTGAAAAAGTGTCCAGCATTTTCTGTCAATAACAGTTCAAAAACCTTCCAGAATGATGCTGGTGTAGACACTTAATATGGTATGAATGTAGCAATTGTGAACGAATTGAAGTATGCCGAGTATAACATATGATTATTTCTTCTTATTATGGAGGGTAGAAGTAAGGTGTAAAATCTCTTATGGGAGAAAATGTGAAAAAGTGTCCAGCGTTTTCTGTCAATAACAGTTTAAAAACCTTCCAGAATGATGCTGGTGTAGATACTTGGTATGGTATGAATGTAGCAATTGTAAACGAATTGAAGTATGCCGAGTTAATTATTGGCAACTTTATCGCAAGATAATCGCAAGATAACCCTTTGGAGGTTATTGTACTTTTATGATCATTATATTACAATTTTTGGAAAAATTCGTTCTATTTTCTATTGAATATTTATGTCTTTTATATTTAAGACATTTTTGTCTGTCATGAGACATTCATGTGGAGGTAGCGATCATCTCGACCCTTTTCTTGTTTATTTCTCAATCCTACTCTAATAATATTTGGCGCTTCCTTTAAAATTGACACTCTGTGACCTGTAGCGCCACCCTATTGCATACATTTCGATGGACACTTTTCATGTACAGAGATGTTACTCCTTACCTCTACCCTCCATATAAATAATTTATTAATATTAATGTTTAAATCAATTTATATTGTATATCAGTAAAGATGGTCTATAGTTGAAAGGGACAACACAATTGTTGACATACGCGGACGATATTTCTTTGTTAGGGGACAATTAACAGGCATTAATTAAAAAAAAACCAAATATATGGTAACCGATAGAGCTCAGAATAGGCCTAGTACTGGAACTTTGGTCGTCCGGGATAAAACTTTTGAGCGGATCAGCAACTTTAGGTATTTAGGATCGATCATAAACCAGACGAACGAAATTAACGAAGAACTTAACACGTTGACGCCGGCACCGATTTTCAGTGTCTACGCTGTGGGGCGGCACTCGAATCTAAAAGGCGCTTCATCTGGCGGCGCGTGATTTTTACTTGTTCAAACCTGGACCAAGGTGGACCACCGGTGGTACGCGCCGTCCGATGGGACAGTCAAGCGCGGGCCACCGGTGGTACGCGCCGGCGTGGACGTGTTAAGAAAAGAATCAATCTAGGCAATTCATGTTTCTATTCGATTAGGTCTAGGCGATTAAAAATCAGGATATACAGGACAATCATCCTGCCGGTAGTCCTTTATGGTAGCGAAACGTGGTGTCACTTGCGTTACGGGCCCAAAAGAAATTTAGGGTTTAGAAAATAAAGTTGTTTCGTAAAATGTTCGGTGCAAAACGCGATGAGGAAACGGCCGTAATGGAGAAAACTCCATAACGTTGAAGTGCATCGATTGTACAACAAACCGGACATTATCAACGTCGTAAAATCACGCCGATTAATATGGGCTGGTCACGTGGTGCGCATGGGGGTGGATCGAACGGCTCACAAAATATTGGTCGGTATATACCAAACGGGAAAAGACCACTAGGTAGACCGAGACGTAGATGGGAGGATAATATTAGAAGGGACCTGAAAAAAATAGGATACGAAGACCGCGAATGGAAGGATCGGGGACAATGGCCCCGGGATTTGGTATTTGCAGCAATGAACTTTCGAGTTCCTAATGCCAGTTAATAATAATAATAATATTCTATATAAAAAATGTACTTTCAATTAACAAATTTGTTTCTTTTAGATGTGAAGTACGAGCTGGCCCAGAATATATCATTCGAAAGTACACATTTTTCGAAAACGGAACATTTTTATTACTACGCTATCATTATGCCGAAGAATCCTGTAGCATACCAACTCATACTGTAGTTGGACGAGGATCCATTCAATTGGGTTTACCGTCAACAGTAATACCTGGTGCAACTGAAACCAAATTTCACATAGACATGGTTCACATAGTACCATTGAATCGTCAGGTATTATAAATAATTTATTATTATTATTATTATATTTGTTTATAACTTATCAACCTTTCCTATTATTATTCTTGACGTTTTACGTAGATCGCCAATAAATTTGGACATAGATTAAACGTCACTTGTAGTTTTCAACCAAAATGGCGTCCTTACGTGGCACAACCAATTTTCGAACGGTTTCATCGTCAATTTGAATCTCCATCGTGGTACAGTCCAAGATATAATTCTCTTCAAAATTATCCTTCATCGAAAAAAGAAAAAGGGATTGACTGTTTAGAAAAACTTGGAATCGAATTCGACGAATTGAGTATACTGAGAGTACAAAAAAGGGCACTCGATCAGAGATACATCGTACCTAGTTCGATTTATAAATCAAAAGTCGAATTGGCGCTTGCCAATGTACCACCAAACGTACAATCTCGATGGATTCATCAACCTACGTCATTACAATCCACCATGTTAATTCGTATGGATACCGTAAGTGTTTAGATACTGTTTTTGATAAACGATGTAAATTGATACACACTTTTTCTATTTAATTAACAAATTGTAGACTAGCGATTGTCCAATATGCGGTAGTATATCTCGAGGAACGGAATACAATCCACCACTGTTACACGAGTTAGCACCACTTCCAGCATTACTCGGTGGTTCATGGATAAGTTCCCAATGTGAAAGTGTCAAAAACGGTTTATGGTCTCGACGTCACATGAAAATATATTCCGGTGATAAACTGTGGACTGGTCGTTGGGATTATTACTTGAATCCACGATGTACCATATTTTCTTACTCGATCACTGCAGCAGGAAGTTACTTGCAACGTGCTGGAGGATATAAACGCGACAACACGGATAATACAAAACTATACCAATCATCTTGGAATTCCTTAACAGACAAATTAATGTCTAGATCAAGAAGAAGTATGAACGACGCTTATCGTCATCTTTTTCGAAACGCTCGTCCTTCGATGGTTGAATCATTTGCTGCAATGCTCAAGGGTAATCAAAAACACGAAGCAATTGCAACAAGTGCAGAGACATCCCCAAGCACACCCTGTGGAACCACGGAATTGGATCTTCACGTAGCCGAGAGTCTTCTCATCCCAGGAGATACGTTAATAGTTGATCGATGTGCTGGCAAAGAGCCAGGCAAACCACTTACCCTATGGCCTAATAATTGCGTTCCTCTGGCCATAGAAGCACCATCGACCCTTCGATTAAGAGCTAAAGTTGGAGTTAGTTGGTCGGGTCAATACATCTTACGATTAGGTCTGAAAGATGACGATATTTGGGATATGCCACTTCGTCAATGCGGACAAACTAATTCACGTAATCCCAAACTTAGAATATATCTTCGAAAAAGTTTAGGACTTAAATATGGGCTCTCATCTTTGGCAGTATCATCCAATCAGACATCTCTCGAAATGATTATAATTATGTTTCTTTGTGTTCATTATTTTTTCCGAATAAGTTAAATCTTTTTCTTAAGGACAGTATTTTATTATTAACTTCAATTAACTTCAAAAATGGAGGAGGTTCTCAATTCGACTGAATTTCTTTTTACGTTTGTTACTTCAAAACTTTCGACTGAGTTAACCGATTTTGATGAATTTTTTTTTATTTTATTTGAAAGCTAGTGCTGCCTGTGTGGTCCCATTTCAATTTGATCCAGTTCTGACAAATGGCATCCATGAGAAAACCATATAAGTCTTAAATTTGCATTTATAATCTAATCGTATAGTTTGCAATGTTTGTCAAATGAAATGTTAGTCGTACCTATCGATACGAATATGTAAATATAGTAAACGTGTATTTGAAAAAAAAATCATTTACAATCATTTACGTTTGTTAAGATCAAGATTAAAAAAAAGAAATATTGAAAAATATTTATAAAATATGAAAGGTTTGATGGACGAACGATATCATACAATGATTTTAAGTACAATCCTTTTAACCTTGCCATGTAAAAAGTCTGACTAATCGAAATTGATTTACGAATTTTGTACATTTGTATATATATATGAAATTATTATATTTTTTGTACAAGAAAGTAGTTATATTATAAATTATAGTTTTATATATAAATATATATAGTTGAATAGTCTATTATCTTGATTATCTTCAAGTAAGAACAATACTAACGCCAACAATAAAATGAAATAAATCTGACAGCGTTCTTTTACAGATTTTGAAATATTTTTCATCAAATATACGTATTATTTCTTATCTACCTGTTATAAATTACAACCGTAAATGAAATCATTCGAGCTATCATACCATGTGTTTTTACTTTATGATTTTAGTATTCCTACAAGTAGAACGCAGGAATCAACTATTCCATTCGTATTTGTCTCTTCCTTGTAATATCTGAGATCTATAAGAATTATATTTGAGTGAGTGTGTGTGTGTGTGTGTGTGTGGAGATGCATATCTGTTACATTATACATTACTCGTGTGAATAAAATTAATAATTTGAGAATTATTATGACCTATTGCATTATTATGTGTGCATCGAATATTAAATAAAAATTTCGAAAAGTGAAATAAGACTTGAAAAGGTAAGAAAAGTATTTGTCTTATACAGTAAATATGATGATAAAAGTAAAATCATAAAAATGTCAGCATCCCTTAGACAACATTTTGTAATTTCAGATAAATTGCAATAACGCATACGTACGTAAGTACGTGTAAATCATACCTTACCTATCAAACCACTTATCTTTTGAGGTGTCTGACTTGACTAAAATTCGAAATAAAAATGTCTAACAACGAATCAACAATTCTCAATTCGGAAATTTTGAATCGTTTCACATTTGGCTGGACCGATTATACTTTATTCGGGACGATATTAATGGTCAGTGTTCTCATAGGATTTTATTTCGGATTTTTTAGTAAACAAGACACAACTACGGAATATTTATTGGGTGGAAAGAGAATGGGATTTTTCCCAATAGCAATGAGCATAATTGCCAGGTAAGTGATTCATTACTTATGCGAAGAACGATCCCATAGAATACCTATGGGAATACTAAATATACGATACATTTATATGCTTCGATACGAACAAGCACGTTCTTAGAAAAAGGAACACAATGTTCTCTGTTATAATCATGTTTAATCATAGAATATGAAAGGAATGTTAATACACGTTATTTCATCTTCTGACGTTTCTCATATTTGAATATCATAGTTTGACGAGGCCTCGTCCTTTTTTTTTATAATTTACAATCTTTTATCAGTTAAATGACTATTTGTAGAATTCAAGGTTGACAGTAGATAGAAAAATATTTATTTTTCCTTATCTGAGAACGATCTTTCGTTATCTTTCGTCGAAATTCGGACGATCGGTTAATTAATGTGTACTTAATGTCTCTTATTAAGGTAAGTCGGGGGAATATGACACAGTTAAGGAAAAAATCAATCTAAAAAGTAAATTAATAAATTTAATGAAACTTAAATACGTGGATTTAATAAACATTGCCTCTATTTATTATATGTCTATATATTTATTTATTTATTAATTAATAAGAATAAATTAGTGCTTGTTGAAAGTGGCATATTCCCCACATGTAGGGGTAATATACCACTTACTCAAAAAAGAACTTCATTTCATATAAATATCAATAATAACTCGTAATTTAATACTTTTACAGTATAACAAATATAATTTCGATTAACTACATTAATAATTATAATAAATAGCTTCAAAAAAACGAGATAACAATAATAAATTTGACAAATTTTATGATTTACATAAAGGACAAGTTTCACTTACACAACAAGTTTTGTGCATCCATTTTTCACATTTGCCACATTGTACCCAATCGCATTTCAGTCCTTTCTTACTATCAAAACTTATGTGGCACATAGAACAAAAGTCTCCACTGGCATATTACCCCAACTTCATTTTGTGAAATTTTGCCCCGAATGCACAAAAAAAATGTTAAAGTAAAAAAAAAAGAAAAAATCTTACTTGTTATGTTTTAAAATCAGTGCCGTTATGAAATATTATTAATTCTACACAATATACAAAAATTCGTTTTAAGAAAAATGTATAAATATGATAGAAAATAAACATTGAAGTTACAGAAAATTTTAGATTCTCACCAAATTAATCCAACTGTATCTAGAAAGCAACTGAAAACTACGTCAGTATACTGTAGTATTTACTCAGTATGGTCTGCTGTACATAATAAACACCTCAATCTTGCTCCTATCGATATCTTAATATATATAAATTACGTGTCACGTTGTTTGTCCGCAATGGACTCCTAAACTACTGAACCGATTTTAATAAAATGTTGCACACTGTATGCAGTTTCATCCAACTTGAAAGATAGGATAGTTTATGTCTCAATTTGTAATCGCAATATTATTTGTTTATTAACAAACAGTCATGATTATCTCTGTTAGTTCGATAAGATTCTAACAGATGGCGGTATAAGATAATTCGTTTAGAGACCCTATAGGAGGGACGCGCCAAAGAATTTTGGGGGACAGGAACTTATGTAGTTACGTGATTGCGTGCGAATGAATCAAACATTTTAAATAGTATAAAAGTTGTATACAGTAATAGTGAATAGTGTAGGGGGTAGAGTGGTGAATTGGTTTGAAAAAATTATGAAATAATGAATTGCATCAAATACAGACAAAAAAATGAACCATATTATTATTATCAATTCAAAAAGAAAGATTGAATTAAGTTTGATTTGATAAAAGGCATTACAGTATTTAGAAATTTCAAAACAACTTGTAGGAATTTATACAATTTTGATAAATTCAATTATCTACTATATATATATTTGGAGAGGATGAGGTGAGGTCTCCAACAGAGCGTAGATCAGTATCGTAAAACAAGAGTAAGCCGTTTAGGTATGCCAGGTCAGGTATAAGTCTTTATTGTTTCTTTCTACAGTCAATCAATTTCTTTCGTCTAGTCGCTTTCTAAGTCGGATCCGAACTCTTCGTCGTTCGGAAAACTTCGGCCCGGGGAGATCGGGCCCCCGGCGCGGTGCCAGTCTCGGACGACCGCGGCGCTGCTGAGCGCGCACCGCCACATATATATTATATTTACAATTATTTTAAACATTCGTACAATTTGTTTTTAATTTGCAATATTAATAAATCAGCTAGGATTCCTGGATATTATATCTTCATAACTAACCACAGCCGTTATTTATACATACTAAAGATAAACATGGCTGCGCGTTGCATCGGAAGCTGTCCCTCAAAATTTGCAGCTAATAGCAACCCCAGCAATATGTATGGCGCGTCCCTCCTACAGGGTCTCTAATTCGTTGAATTAAAGATGTATCGGACTGATTGTGAGCCACAGCTACGCGTAGCGAGGCACCCCTAATCTACTTATAATTATAAGAGATATAGCTAAGTGGCATATTTCCCGCACTGGCATATTCCCCCGACTCACTTTACATATTTCCTAATCTAATATATTCTAGATCTTATTTTACATGATTATTTTCAGCCATGTATCAGGAATCACGTTATTGGGAGTACCATCGGAAGTTTATCAATATGGATCTCAATACGCAGCATGCGTTTTCACATCGTTTCTTTCGTGTTCAATAAGTGCTTACATATTTCTTCCGGTTTTTTACAAGTTACAACTGACCAGTACCTTTGAATATTTAGAAATCCGATTTAGCAGATCAGTTAGATTACTTTGCTCATTTTTATTTCTAATTTCTTATATCATGTATATTCCCATTGTAATTTACGTACCAGCATTGGCATTCTCTCAAGTAACTAATTTTAGTTTACATACAATCACACCGATCCTTTGCGCTGTTTGTATCCTTTATACAAGCATTGTAAGTAAATATTAAAATTTAATAAAACGTAATTAAATAAATGAAGAAAGAAAAAAACAAATATTACTTAAATTTGATCAATCAATTCTTTTTAGGGAGGATTAAAAGCAGTTGTGTGGACGGATACAATACAATTTACTGTTACAGTCGGAGGTTTGTTCACTATTCTCTTCTTAGGTATTAATTCGGTTGGTGGAATATCGGAAGTATGGAACCGATCCGAAATGGGTAATCGTTTAGTATTCTTCAAGTAAGTTACAAAATAATTTTTGTTTAAATCACATGTATTACATTTTTTATTTCTAACATTGTTCTATACGAAATTTGTATTTTTTTTTTTTGTTCAGTATGGATATCAACCCTTACACTAGAAATACATTTTGGGCAATGACTATAGGAATGACAATAACATGGCTCGTACATCTTGGTGTACATCAAGGAGTTATTCAAAGGTGTCTTTCGGTACCAAAAGAAACGGATGCTAAGCGGTAAGATTCGAATTCTTGTATCTAATGAAATTTGAAAATATTTGTTTACTTTTTTAAATAACCACAAAATGTTCTGTTCATTGATCACAGAGCACTAGGCATGACAGCTATAGGTTTGATTCTCGTAAAGATAGTTTCCGTTTTCACAGGATTAATCATATACGCTAAATATTTTAATTGCGATCCTTTGCTTTCCAAGGTAAGAGATAATTGTTTATATTTAATTAAATTCATAATATTCCACATTATATTTTCATTAACATATGTTACTTCGAAGAGAATACAAAGGGCCGATCAAATTCTACCTTATTACGTGATGGACGTGGCAGGAAATGTACCAGGATTGCCAGGTTTGTTTTTAGCTGGTCTTGTAAGTGCAGCTCTTGCTACAATGAGTGCAAGCTTGAATACTATGTCCGGCACAATTTATAAAGATTTTATCGATCCATGGATACCAAACGGACCAAACAAAGAAGCTCGAGCAGCTACGACTATGAAGGTTCGATTATGTCGCGTTACAAATATTGACTACCTCTGATTAAACTTCGAAATATGTTTTATTTTCTTATTATTTTGTCTTTTTTCTTCCTCAATAGATAATCGTACTTATCATAGGAGGAATTTCGGTTGGATTAGTGTTCGTCGTCGAACAACTTGGGCCAGTTTTTCAAATATCCGTTAGTATGCGCAGCGTAACCGATGGCCCTTTACTCGGTTTGTTTCTACTAGGAATGTTGGTCCCATTGTCCAATGCTCAAGGAGCCCTTTTAGGTGGTTCCGTGTCTTTGATTATAATGTTTTTCTTAGCCGGTGGATCAGAATGGTACATGACAAATGGACAAATTCGTAAAATTCCATTACCAGTGTCGATAGAGGAATGCCCATATCCGTTAAACGAAACAGAAATTACTACACGAAGACCATTGACATTAGAAGAAGAACCAATTGGTATATTCAAGATATCCTTTCTGTATTTTACCTTGATAGGTGCTATGCTGGCCGTAGTATTCGGTATTATTGGAAGTTATGCGTTTGGTAAGGTTGATCTAACTCAAGTAGATCCCGATCACATTTCTCCAATAATGAGAAGGTAAACAAATTTCTATACAATAATTCTTATAGTTAGTATCGATATCATTTTAATATTATTCCTTGGTGTAGATTTCTACCGCGTAAAGAATACGTGCAAGTATCATTGAAACCAACGCAAGAAGAATTAGAATTGAGCAAGGACATTGATCATCGTCAAACAACGATGAAGTTTAACGAGTAAAAAAAAAGGATATAGGATAAACGTAGCTAAGAATAAAGTATTATACGTGTCTTATCATATTATCAAGGACAAATATTTGATATAAATTATAATGCAAAACTTTAATGTGAAAATACGTGAACAAGGTAAAGAATCGAAGGTTGATCCTGACTGGACCTGGACCACAAACGAAAGTTACACGCAGCTTCTTTATCGATTTGTAAGCGCAAGCGCCTACTGACTTTGCCGTTCTCGGCACGCATCGACGAATCCCGGCTATTTTCGGCTACGCAGTACCGTTTCAAACAGCCTGTCGCGGTGAATCCTTATTAGAAGAGTGTTCGTTTATCGTCAGACCGCATTCGGATCCGTTCTCGTCATCATCAACAATTTGTTACTCCTTTTAAAAAATAAGAAAAAAGAAGGAAGAGTATCTTATTTATTCTATTTTACTTGAAGACAAAAAAAAACAAGGAATCCCATTGCTGATCAATCGATTCAACGAGTTTGAATAAACGGACAACGACACTGATGACATCGATGAAGTCGACGACTACGATGGCAACGACGTTGATAACAAAAACAACAACAACAACGACAACGATGACAGGGCTGAACAATGAAGTAAATAATAACGATCATGAAATAATGTTGAAAATAATGAGAAATTGGTTTGATTTGATATTTCGATACTTGCCTTGGCACGATTTGACTGACCTCAATGATAATAAATTAATATGGGAAAAGAAGTTTAAAATAAGATGAGAGGGAGGGGGAGAATGATCGAAACGTTATGATACAGCCCTGGAAAATGTTCATCGCGGCTGCTCGGAAGTGGCCGGTCGTCGTCGAGGGTAAAACGACCGCGCCTACACGTGGAGCAAGCGCCAGCCGTTCTTGTCTCGAACGTAGTTTCGAACTGAATCTCGAACGGAGTCCCGGAGTCTCGGCTTTGCCGTGACACGATCAACAAGTACGCGGGCGAAACGATGCATTGCATAAAATCCGCTTAAGACTCTGCTTTGCAATACTTCGGTTAAAACTTTCTCTCTGACGAGCGTTTGTTAATCTTCGTTCGTTATTCCGTTTCCTTTCTCTCGATTGACTGCAATGTCTTATTATAGTTCGCCAGGACTTTAAATACTCGTCAGGAGAAGTCAGTGTGTAGTATAGTAATTTTTTTTGTACAATTAAAGTGTCGTGTAAGTCACCCACAAAGAGAGAGAGAGAGAGAGAGAGAGGGAGAGACAAAGAAATTCAAAGATCATCAGATTGTGATGAAAATTTCCATCGGATTAGTTCATTGTAAATAAGGAATAAGAAAATGCGCGTTATTTGTTGGACAATTCGATGATTATTTTGAATAATACAAAAATAATATTAAATTCGATATGACGAAACGACATGCATTTCTTCGACTTGACGTTCGTAGCTCGAGATATAATAATAATAATAATAATAATAATAATGCTGCTACGAGGGAAAGCGCGAAAATGATTTTACGGAATGAAAAATGTACGAATTTGACGGAACGAATTCCAGAAATAAGATTAACCGAAGGACGATTCAGGAGGTGGAATATGTACTTACGTTAGACGGCCGTCTTGCTTTTAATAATAGATAAAAACGTAGGGGCGGGCTCGTGCCGGAAAAAGAACGGAAACGTTTTCGAACAATTTTGACGACACCACGCCACAGTTGAAAACGACGATTTCTCTCGGTGGCTCTGATTTCATCGTGCGAATACTTTTCGACAATTCTCGATTAAATGTGTTCCAGCTATTTTTGTAATCCTCGATTAGAAAAAATCGAGAAAACAAGAAGAAACGTGAAGCGAACTATCCGTGATCTTAATGTCGACAAATACTTTTTTTCCTTCCTTCCTTCCTTCCTTCCTTCCTAATGTTCGATAAACGAGCAAGAAATTCAGATTGATTTATCTCGATCATCAATCGATCGATCGATCGATTAATTCCTACCCTTCCTTCCTTTAAACTATACCTACCTAAAATATGTGGATAATATTAGAAGTTGATTCAACGATGAGACGACAGAAATCAAGAAATCTTACGACAGTTATGTCTTCATGGAAATGATGTCGTTGCCGCACAAAAGTCTTCTTGGATCGTCCATATTGTTAATGATTGCTCTGGTGGCCTTATTGACGAGCAAGAGATACGGTTTGGAAACTCGTAAAAAGGATAAGGATGCATTGTTACTTGATATTATTGCAAACATAAGCGGAACGATAGACAAACTCAATGCTGGATTCGATGGTATGGCGATGGAAACTGAAATAGCAAGAAATCGACTAAAGCAACTGGTTGCCCTTCATCGTGAGAATGCTGCAATTTGTGCTATGTTACAGGAGCAACGAAAGAAACAAAAATTGAGGAAAGAGACTAAACGTACGTGACGATTCCAAAACTGTCATATTATGATGTCAAACATTTGCCGAGTATTATCATTTACGAATTAGAATTTTAGGTGCAAGATACATCTGAAGAAATTCTATACCATAATGGAAGAAACGGTAAAATTTGGATTTAACTGATTTTACTAATAATAATCGAGTAACATTCAAGTTGCTATGTTCTCTCTAAATAGTTTTTAGAAAGATACTTAACAAATCATTCGTTTGAAATATATATGCCTCTTCTTACGTTACGACACATATATATATTGTACATCAAAGTTAATTTAGCTTTGGTGACCTAACGAGATATTAAAAAAGATTTTCCAAGAAGCCATAGTTGGAACAAAAAAAAACGAACCATTATTAGCAAATCTAAGGTATTCAAAAGAGATTGGTCATTGGCAAGACGAAATGATTGAAATTAGATTTACAAATGTGAACGTTGTTGTTGAGTAACGTCTGACATCTTGAGCTTATTATTAGTTATAGTAGTATACAGATAAGATTATATATGCGATAACTTTTAACGAGATACGGAACGGCAAGGTAACTTTCCAGGCGAAACTTTGATCCCTTACACACTTTGTATTAGTTGCTAGTATATATGTATGTATACATGTATATTGTATATGTATATATATATATATATGTACTTATGTTAGAAAGTCCGGTGATACGTTTTCCTCACATATCCTTTAACACGTTCGTCGCCCAGCCCGTTTTGGTTGAGTTTCTCACCAGGCCCAAAATTCGATTGTCGGTGCGCCTACGTAACGTAAAGAAGCAATAAGTAAAAATATAAACAATGCAGCCTGAGTATTATGGTTATATTATATTATTATATTTTATTTATCAAAAATAATCAAATATAATAATATCGTTTATTTATCAAAAATAATCAAATATAATAATATCGTTTATTTACCAAAAATAATAAAATATCAATTCAATTCAATTCGTTTATTCTGCTTATAAGTTACATACTCGTAGCAGAGTGAGTTCATTGTACATTCATTCATGATCTATAATTAAAAATGTTTAAAATCAGAAAGTTTCGCACGCGTAATTGACGGTCAGAATGTAAGAGGGTATATTAAAATAATAAAATATAAAAATATCGTTTATTTACCAAAAATAATAAAATATAAA